TATTTCTTTAGCTTCATTCATTAATGAAAGATTATTAAGGTCAATTTTCTGATCATCTCAGACACAATATTTTGTCTTCTTTGTGTGTATTTTATTTAAGGTCGAATGCAATTATATCCATGCGATGAATTGGGCATTTTTCTGATTCCATATTATTTGAGGTAATCACAATAATTAATAACAATAAATTTAAATAATTCTTATACAAAAATTGAAATAATCATTTTTTGTAATTAATTTTTATAGATTTAACAAGTATATATTATTTTATTAAAACAATAAAAAACTATTATCAGTAGTAAAGATAATCAAGCATTTTTTTCTGGAGAATTTAGTTTATGAATATTTGCATAATCATTCAAAAACAAAACAAAAAAACAAGTATGCTTGAAACTAGTATTATTTTTGAGATCAAGTATATTTATTTGAAAAAATATTTAATGTTATCTGAAATAAAATAAAAATAAATTTTTTTAATAGTTTTAGTGAAATTCTATAATTTTTTTTTTTAATTTAAAACATATCTTAAATATTTTTTATTAATAATTAAAATAATAATGTCAGAAGAGGAGGCTGTTTTCCAATCTTAATAAATGGACCAAAGAATTGACATAAATTTTAAAGATGAAGATGAGAAATTAATATTAATAGAAATCAACCCACAAATGGTTTCAAAAGAATTACAACCTCAATTTCAATTATTGAACAAAATAATTATCAGATATTTGAATTATGCTCTATAACCTTGTTTAGAAATTGAGTATAGAAGAAATGAATTAAAAATTTCATCTTATAAAGCAGTTGTTAAACTAGATGATAAAAGAGTTGTGATGTTTACAAATAGTAACAATCAACTAATAGACACTTAAGGAATTTGGATAAGTTTAAATAAAAAAACTTTAGATTTAAGAATAGGATATGGAGAAGCTAGGGTGGAAACACAAGTAAGTCATTACAAAATGGATTCAGTCTAGTAATATATTCAATAAATTACGTCAGTTATAATTTGGTAAGAATCAATTCCTTAGCAGATTTTACCTTTTTTAATGTAATGTTAGAAAGGTTAGATTAGGCCAATAAGAATTCATTCTAAAGATCACTATATAGCATAATTAAGTGAGGTAATCTTACAAAAGTGCCAAAATATCCTTGAATTACATTAAGGTAGATAAGCTTTACATTTATCTACTGAAATAGATAATTTATATCAATCTGTATAGAAAGTAGAATTGTAATAAATTGAATAATTGGAATCTCCTCAATATCTATAAAAGGGGGCTAAATTTAATTTAGGAGAGTTGATTCATCATAGTGTAGCAATAGAAGGCTGTAAATTAAACTAGATACTTAAAAAGAAATAGGCAGCTAATGAAAAATCTGGGTTTGATCCTTATATGACATATCTTAGATTAGGACTAGGACATTTTAATAAAGATTCAGCAGGACATTAATTTGTCTTAGAGATTTGGCCATTTAAACATTATTCAACTATTCATGATCATGCAGGATAGTACGGATTAGTTAAGATATTATAAGGTGTGATTGATGTGAATATCTATGCAATATTATCTAATGCTAAACATTTAATGGATCCTATTAAAACACTTACATGTAATAAACATGATATGACATGGTTGGCTCCTAGAGTTAATTAAGTTCATTAACTTAGAAACTTTTATCCATAAACAGCTATAACTTTATAATGTTATAAATATTCTTAGAAAACTTAAAATAAAATGAAGTAATTTAATTATGTTGTAAATGAATAATATAAAGGTTTTAATCCTCTTTCAGATTTTGCAGACTTAGAATTACATGATATTTTTAATGATTTAGTCCAAGAATACTCAAATCTTCACAAATAGAAAAATATTTGATAATATAAATTAAATTCATTCATATATAGATATCATATTTTTGGTTCTTTTTTCTCTTTTAATGATTTCTCTAGATTATTTAAATTAATATAATTTATTTTTAGCATTATCAAATACTTTTGAATATTTTTAAAATTTCTAAAATTAAAATAAATTATATTACTTTCTCTAAAAGATGTTAGGGAACAGATAATAATCCATCTGTAATAGCTTTATTTATTATTTAAAATTCTTGTTTCTTTTTCGTTTCTTCACTTTTTACTTTAGAAATTAAAATTTCAAAACTGGTTGGATGTAATCTAGTATACAAATCTCTGAATTTTTTTTAATCATCTGCATCAAAAATTTCAGTAAAAAGTGTTTTTGGAATAAACAATACAAATGAATCTTCTGCTGCATCAATAGTTTCTGTTCTTTTTTTTAATTACAATTGTTCAAAAGTCACTATTTCATAATACCCCAATAAAGATTATGCTTTATACTACAAAGGAATTCTTTAACAGGTAGTTATAGTTTTCTTTTCCCATTCTTTAGCTCCTATTGGCCATCTATTGGATTCTTCCAAATCAACAACTACATTCTTAACTAAAGTTCCATTTTTAACAATATAAAAATTATCTACTTAATCTCCAGCTTTATATAAACAATCTTTTGTAGACATAAAGCGACCTTTTAATTCATCACACATTCTTTCAATTTTATGAGGATGAAAACTGTCAAAAAAATGAATTGTTTCTACAAACTTTTTCCATTTCGGTCTTTCAATTTTAAACAAATTATTTAAACATTATTAAAAGTCCCATCTTTATAATTTGAGTATATGAGATTCAAAATTAGTTATTAATGTAGCATTTCTAGGTGCATCTGTTTCAAGTGCACTTCTTCCAACATGTTCATTACTACCAAAAACTTTGAGAAGTTTTCCCTTATTAATTATAAATTATTTTTACATCAAAACTAATAACATCAACCTTTCCTTTAAATATTATAAACATACACTCTCCTTTTTCACCATATCTACATAATGTTAAATCAGCTTCTGTTTTTAATTCAATATATGTTAATCGACCTCCTAATTCCTTTAGCATTTCCAAAGGCATTAATTTAAATAAACTCAATGTTTATAGATATAATGCTACTATTGTTTTTTGACCATCATCTCTTCTGAATGATTCACTTTTACATATTGAAACTATTTTCAAATGAATGTCAAAATCTCTATTGCTTAATTATTGTTTTACTCATGTTATTTCCACTTTTAGAAATCTTATCTCTCTTCCATCCATTTTGGAAAATTGAAAAAATAATTGTTAGGCAAAGATGTAATTCTATTTGTAGTTCTTGCACTAAAGTTTCGATTATTACTATTTGTTTTCTTCTAAAATAGATTCCTTTTTGTAGAATTTGAATCCATTAATGAGGTATTTGTTTATAATCTACTCATTTGCAAATTCAAATTCATTTTACTTTATGGGGTTTAATTTAACAGAACACTTCTTGCATCTTATTTTGTTTATTCTATATATGTGCTCATTAATTTGCTTTTTTCAATATTATGATCAGTTTCAAATCTTAATTTACCAAATCTCTTTCTCATTAAATGAAGTTCTTTCTCTTCTTTTTCACCAAAAGTCTCATACATTATTAAATTATAACAAAATAATAAATCCAATAAACAATAAAATGGAAAATTTACTATAATTAATCTTCTTCATTTCTATTTACATATCTTTAATTATCGATTATATAATTTTTAAATTTTTGGTTCTTAAACTTCTTCAGGTTGATGATTTTTAGATTTAATTAAAAATCTAAAAAATGCTAAAAGGAATTTTTGCCACAATTCTACTGATGAAGTTGAATAGATCTATCTAGAAGTTATCTAAGCACCATTAGATGGTTATGTAATTAATCTTTCTAATAATATATTAAACATTATTTTACATTCTTTTTATGGTGAATCATTAGGATCTGTATGACAATGTATACGATTTGGTTATGTTAATTATTTTTTTGATCCTAAATCTTGATTTACTATTTAATTTTAAACTTAAGTATTATTTTAAAATTGATTTTGATGTTAAAATACATTATAATAATCTTCTTCATCATTCAAAAATATTCCTACATTTATATGAGTATGATTCCCACCTATAAAAAAGTTTTATTAAGTTGGTTATTATGGTAAAGTATGTTATGCAGATTTTATAAAAGATCTAGAAGGAGTATAATTTCCTTATGACATTATTGGAGTTTAAAAGGATGATCTATAAGATGGTTTTAATAATTCTTCTAAATCAGTTTGATTAGATTTATAATAATTTAAGGAAAATATCCATTATCTTCTTTTTGGTTCAGATTCAGCTCCAAATACTATTCTAATCTCATTTTTCTTTAAATTTGGCTTCTTTTTAAATTTATCATAAATCTAATCAAAAAAGCCCTTTTTTTAATCTTCTTTATCACTATTTTCATTTTCTAATTCATTAATTTATGACATGCCACTTTTATTTTATTTATTTGGTTATTCAAATTTTTAGACTTTTAAATATGATCCAACTACTTATGCCTTTTCATCTATAACTATTTAAAATGGAAATGGATGTGATGGTATAAATGGTAAATCTTTATCATTAGAAATTCTCATTTTACTTAAATCAATACAATGTTTTAAACTTACAGTATAAAAATGTATTTTTCCTTCATTTAAAACCATTAAATGTTCCTTAAAAACAAGTTGTTTAAATTTCTATCTAATTTTTTCTAAAGGTTCATTATTAATTTAACATAATTCAACAATACCTGAATAATTTTATAAAGGATCAATTGAAGTTTTAACTTCATGAAAAATCTATTCTATTTCTCTAATATCCCAAGATTTGATTAATGTAATTTTTGATTATGATTGCTCTTTTAATATAAATGAATGACTAAAAGGATTAATTTAACTACTAGCATTTTCAGTTTAAATTGGTCTTTATAATTCTGGTTCTCTTTCTTAAGGTCCTGAATTTAATGAATTAGTTTTTCTATGTACACCTTTTGTGGGTACTGTAACTAATTCTAATAAACAAATAAATTCAGTATTCTAAACTAAATGATGAATTTTTATTGATTCAGGTTTTACAGCCCTTAAATATCTTGTACTCTAATCTATTTATAAAAATAGTAATTGCCATTTATTTGCTTTCTTTATTGATAATCGTTATAACCATCCTCTTATTTTTGGCTTACTTTGTTAAAGTAAACTTACAATCTAATCTTATTATACCTTTTATTATTATTATTATTATTATTATTTTGGCTATTCATCAATTTCAACATCAAAATTGATTTTAAAATTTTATTACAATAATTTTTATATGTCCGATTTAACTTAATTATTTTGAATAAATTAATTTGTTTATCTTGTATGAAATTGAATCTTTTTGAATCCAACAATCTATTGTATTTTCCTAATAATGATACTACTTAAAGCTTTTCTAATTTATGGACCAACTTTTTAAAAAAAATCCTATAAAGATATCTTTGTTACTAAATTTCCAGAAAAAAGATCTTACACAAAACCAAACATATCTATAGTTTCCAGCTTATATTAATTATATAATTTACAAAATCTATATCCTCACATAATTCTTCCTTAATAAAATGTACAGTTCTCTTCAGATCTAATTAATTATCATCATCGCACATATTTTAAAATAATTCTAATGCTATTCTAATAACCAACTCAAATTATGTCATTTTAGTAAGATCTAATTTTAATAGATCCTTTGAGAGAAATTAAAAAAAATCTATTGATTTAAAAACTACATCTGTTACCTTCTAATTAAATAATCTCTTATTGTCCTGCTATTTATCGAAATACCCTTAAGCTTTAATCCTTTATATTATTAAAATCATTTACAGGATCTTCACATATATAGAGTCTACGAGAAAATGAATAGAACTCATCATAGGAGACAGAGTTCTCCTTTTATCTAAACATTAATGCTTTTAGAGCTTCAAATACAGTTTTGGGTTGCATAACTTAAACTATTATAAATTTTTATACCAACAGAAGCTGATATCGATGGAACATTGAAGAAATCTATTTCACTTCTATTTGGAGAATGTACGTCTTCTTTTTTCTATTTTTATACTTTCATTTCAAAAGGAAATCGACCAACCCATGGATTAGTCATTTGAATATATTTATATTAACTTATTTTTTATTAATCAACTTTCGCATAATTCTTATAATTCATTTTCTATTATTTAAGCAAAATTTACTATATCACCTACTTTCTAACCTATTCACAATTATCAACATTACTTTTAATGTTTCATTTAAATTGTTGTACAGAATTTGCCATTATTGAGATTCTTTTTATAATTGTGCTGTTTCTTTTAATAGTTATTTAGTCTCTTTCTCTATTATTTGCTCATTTTAATGCAGAATAGCTATATTTGCATTTAATCCATGCAACACCTTTTTTGTCATTGGTTCAGCCAACATTCCAATATGCCTTCTTAAAAGTTCTGATTTAAATAAAATCATACCATCTTATTTATCTAACTATTTTTTATTTTGATTGTACTCTTTCATTATTGTGTCGAACATTGAAATTAAATAATTTAATTATTTTATTGGCAGAATCTCAAATTCTGTCATATACACATAAAATAAAAATTAAGAATGAATTCATGATTTATGTTATAACAGGACCTTTAGATTCTTTAATTTGGGACTAACATGTATTTTGCTCTAACTATGGCTTTTTGCTAATTAAATTGAAGGTGAGGATTTCATTTTGATTGCTATTTTATTTATTTGAATAATAGGAGATTTAGATGAATGAAAAGTACTTGATTTTAAAGTTGATGTTTTTAATGATACTACTGATCTCTTACTAACAGGTGTATTCTAATATTTTGGAATTACTTCAGATTATAATATGGCTTTTAATTATTTTTATAGTATTTTATTTCTCGCTGAATTTTAAATTGAAGGAGTCATACAAGAAATCTATTTGATTTGATTTTCAAAATGAACCTTCTTTTTATTTTGATTATTCATAAGATTTAAGAGTTCAATCACTGATTTTGATGGTTATTCTTATGTCAAATCAAATAATACTAGATTATTTACGTTATTATTATTTTTATCTGGTTCTGTTTTAATTCTTAAAGCTTACTGATCCTTTTGATTTAGACCTAGTTGTTATTTAACTTTATTGTAATGAAAGTTTCTTGATTATGATGTAGATATTTACTTTTTATGCTTTTAATAATCTCTAATTGTTTTTTCCAGTTTTCTCATATGTAATCTTGGAGTATGAATTTAATATTTATAATACTCAAAAAGTGTTTTAAGCTTTTTTGTTTATTCTGCTCTTGAAAATAGCTTTTCTAAATATTCATTAGCATGATCAAAGATTTTTTCATAAAATTATAGAATTTCTCTCTTTTTACTGCTATCCACAAAATCATCAATTGTAATTTATATTTTGTGTTCATATTTGTATTAAAGAGCCTAATATTAATAAATGAAGTACTATAGTAATTAATTTACAAAGACTAGTTTGCTATTGGCAAAAGAGGCATTTTTATATTTATTATTTATCCATATATTAATATAATTAGATATTATATAAAATCATTTAAGTTAAATTAATTGGAAGGTTAAATGATTATAAGTAGAAACGATAATATTAGTATATGTGTTGTAATTCTAAAATTAATAATGAAATATCATAAAAATCCATTTTTATTTTTAATTAAATTTAATGGCCACTCAACCTCTGCTCGAGACATTGCCAAAAGACTTCCATAAAATGCCACCAAATTACGATTTCTCCCATAAAGGTAAAAAAGATTAAATTAACATTATTAGGAGTTAATTGGAAAGATTATGAGAAAGACTTTATCTTGAGAACAGATGCAGTCTGGGAAAAAGATTAATTAAAGGATTGGTTTAGATTGTATACTAAGGTACAATAGAATTAAGAGATAGTGTTTTTATTTTGATACAACAGCAAATAAATACTCTTTGATGGAACCAGATGATGTCTATACAATATTATTTGAAGGATGTAAGAACATAAAATGTTAATTTTTATATAGGGGCACTTGAAGATTGTTTATTCCCATTTAGAGGAACTACTCCAACAGGAAGAACAAATTGTTTCCAAGTTGGATTACCTCCTAAATAAAAAGTATATGTGCCATACCCAACTTATTAATCATAATAAGATTACTTTACTTTATGTGCTCTCAGATTTTAGAAATGGTTTGATTGTGATTAAGCAGAACATTTTAAAATGGATAAAACAGAAGCAGATTATCTAAAAAGAGCTAAAGTTTATCCATGTTATGCAATGTTTTATGAAGCAGCATATGCATGCACTGTATTCATATTATTATTTATAATAGGATGATATGTTTGATTTCCTAATGGAATTAGCTTATACTAGAAGATCAAATAGAACATTTGAATATAATCACTTCTAACATGAAATGCGTAGACCACCAACAATCTATGACTCTCCTAAAAATGCAGAAAGAGTTAAAAAGACATATTGATCTAACATTCAATAAATAAAAATAAAACAAAATTATTATTTTAACATTTTTTTATGTTTCTTCCAAAAATATCTATTATTTACAATTATTACTACTTCATTTTCAATTAAATGATAATATAATAAAATCATCTTATTAAATTTTAATCTAAACTTCACCAAACCCACATTTTCTCTTGTATAAAAATGGTATTATAAATGCAAATCTTAAATCTCTTATCATTATATTTATAAGTAATTGAGAATTCTCTATTTCAACTGTAGAATTTTGAATTTTTAAATAAGGTTTTGTTATTGTTATTAATGTGTAGTCTTTATTTTAATTAAATTTCAAAATTTACTCACTGTTCTCATAATAATCTTTTATATATTAAACTACAATCTCTTTATTTTGTAATTATTATTTTAATGATATAATTTTATTGACATACGCAAGATCAATCTTGAAAGGTAATAAATATGTTGATGAATTTAATGTAAGTTAAATAGATTCGAGAATATTTAATGTATTTTTGTTATTGAATTTAATGTTCTGAATTTATTTGTAAGTTTCATTTTATTCATAAAATAAATGAATTTAACCTTTTTAATAATAGAAATTATTATAACTATCATGTTCTTTTAACTTTTTATAATCAATAAGAAAATCCTTTTATTTTTGAATGAGATTTTTATGTACTATTACAACATTATTCCAAAGTTCAAATTGTGATAATAATTTCTTATTAACTGAATCATTAATTAAAATTGTTAGATTTGACATTTTTTAAAGAAAATTACAAATAAAGATTGATTCAAAATCATTCCAATCAATAGAGTGCTCAATATAACACTATTTTTAATCTTAATAACATAAAATTGAATTATTTTTTTTGAGAATAATTTATAAAGGTGAACCAATTAGTTATTAGATAAGATGGGTTTTTCCAACATTAATTTCACCAATAACTAATGTTATTGGGATATTTGAATTATAAAATGGTAGAGAAATTCCATTATTGAATAGTTTTTCGAAATTAAATTCATATATATAAGATGGCATTATTTTGGATTATGAAGCATGTTCATCTGTAGGATCTTCATCACTATCAAAAATTTTATCATAATTAACAATTTTTTACTTGTTTTGTTTTAGTTTCTTTTTCTTACCTTTCTTTAAATATTATACAACAGAAATTATAAGCGTGTGCATTAAATAATAATAATAAAAATATGAATATATATATAAAATTAATGTTATATAATTGAATATTCATTAAATTTCATCATTATTTTGTCTGAAATGTTAATTAGTCTTGAATTCTGAAAACAATGTGAATAAAACATGTAAAGATTCAATGATATTTCTATTATTGTTAATAGAATGGACAGGAATATCTAATAAATTGCATGAGAATTAGCAATATTCTTATAAACCCATATCAATATTATCTCCAGGTAATTGAGTATTTTAAAATAAATCTTCAATTTCTTATGGCCAAACTTACATTAATTCTTCAATATCAGGCATAATTTTAGAATAAGAAACAGATGGAGGTTATTTTTTTTTATGTATTTCTGCCACATCATTAATCCATGCAGTAATTTCTTTAGGATTCTTATCAGCATTTTCAATAGCATGAATAGTAGTATTTTTACCTCTATTAGCTACCTTAACATATTCTCTCATTAATAAATCTAATTTAGCTTTTTTAGATTAATTAAGAGCAGGTTCATCCTAAAATTTAATGAAATAGATTACTAATGTAACTAAACCAAGTGTTTCAGGTTATCCATCAGGTCTTGGCATTTTAATAAATGCATCAACTTCACCTATGGCAGGTACATAATCTGGAATAAATGGTTTTAATTTAGCATCTAAAACCATTTAGGGAGCTTTGTATCTAATATTAACATAAATCTAAATACCTAGCTATGTATTCAAATAATTATTTGACTTCTGCACCTACTTATAAATTTGAATAATCATTTGTATTATAAGCACCAGCAGGTAATGGAACCTTACCATCTTAAAATCCAGCACTTTATGCAGCTTATTGACCAGCTCTTGCTCCAGCTTAATCTACTAGATTAAAATATAAAAACATTACATTAATCTTCATCTTCTTCACCACTAACTATTTCTTCATCATCTTCATCTTTTAATTCAATTGCTTCATCATAATGTTCATTATCTATTTTCTTTACTTTTTCATCTCCACCAAAACCGTAATCGTTCTTAATTTACATACATTATTTCTACCTTTTACATTAATAAACCTTTTTTGTCAAATTTTAATATAATTATTGAAAATCTATATTCATATTAAATAAGATTAGATCAAATGTTATATATGTTTTTATTATATATTTATTAAAGAAAGGACTTTAAATAAAAGTATTTATTATATTAAATAATGAATGATTGTTATTATGAATTAGAATCATTAATTAACGATTTACCATAACAAACGATTGCATCAAAAATATAACAACTTTTTTATAGGATTATAAATTAAGAAAAACTAAATAGTCCTATATTAGAGGTTGAGAAATATTTCCGCAAATTGATTAAAAAAATAGAGTAGTTTTATTGTAGAAGATTACAAAAATTAGAATATTTTATTTCAAAAAAAGCAGATACTTAATTAATCTTATTAAGAATAAGTAAATATTTAGAGAAGAAACCTTGGAGATTAGAAACAATGGATTATACATCTAAACCAATTAAATAAAATAAAATAGATGATAAAAATTGCAATTAATTCATTAATTTTGATAATAATTAAGAAGAGTATTATTCAAGTAAAACATCTACTCCTTTTAGTCATTATACATGCATTCCATCTATTCCTAGAGATACATCTTTAAATGAAGCAGTATTTTTAGATTGTGAAAATTCATTAAAATCATCATCATCATTTCATTTTGATAAATAAGAACCTATATTAGATATTTCTTAAATTTAATATAAACTATAATAGTTGATAGATAATTCACCAAAAAAAAAGTTAAATTCAAAGAAGAAATAATAATTAGCAGATTTAATAGATTATGAATTAGAAGAATTTTCAGCATAATCACCACCATGTTAAAATATTTTAGATTGTAATATTAGTGATATTAAATCTGGTTTCAATTCTAGACTTATATCTTCAAGATCACTTCAAAAAGAATCTGTTCATTAAGAATAAATACCTATAAGTTCTAAATAAATTCCATAAACAAGAGAATTTGAAAGTTTATTTTAAACACAATAATCTACTAAAGAAATTCTAAAATATGTTGAATAATATCATCAATTATAATAATAATAATAATAATAATAATCATAAGTTTGTTATTCAAAATAATAACATTTTAAAGCAAGACCTAGTCTTGAAGTTACTAATAATAATAACACAATTTAATGTTTTCAAGATAAATGTTAAAGTCCTTCTACTAATAAAAGATATAGAGTAAGATCTTCTTATTAAAAAGAATTACCTTCATAAAATAAATTAAAAGTTAATACTTCTCATGAGAATTTTGAAATTAGAACTTCCAAATCTATATAATCTAAAAAGAAACATTTTTAATTACCTTCACCATTAAATGAATCAATGAATCAATAAAAATAAAAATAATAATAATCAAATCAACTTTTACAATAATAATAATTATCATTATAATAAAAGAAAACTATGTAGAGATAACAACCTTAAACATTATCATCTGCCTTATCTCATTTGTATAAAAGATTTTCCTAATAAAAATAAAGTTCCTCTGTAGTTACAAAGCGATCTACAAAATAAACAATTAGTTATTCTCTAGAAAAAGATCATCAAAAAAAAACATACAAAATAGTTGATTATTTAATAAATTATTGAAAATTTATTTATAATTAGATCAAATATATATAACTCTATTAAATCAATTTGAATGCTTTAAAAATTAGACTTCTGCCTTTTTTAAAGAATATTTTTTTATTTATGGAATAGAACTAAGAGAATCATTGACTTTATCTATTTCTTAAGATAATTTTTCGATGATTTAACAAAATTCAACATTATCATTATATATTTCATTTTAATTATAAAGTGACTATTCCCATATTTTCATTAAATTTCCTACAATAATTATATTATATATATTTTTACCTAAAAATTAATTAGATTCATCTTTAAAATAATCCAAAGCTATTTAATGAGTAGTTTTAGTATTTTCAAAAAATTTCATCGTTTCAAAAGTTACCATATTATCGTCTTACATTTTTATTTGTATATTAAACTTCATATCTAATAATACATTCTTTATCATTGAAATCAGATTTATTATTTCAAACTTGAATAAATATCAAAAAATACTTAGTCTTATGAAAAATTTTTAGTTTTAAAAAGCAGATCAACATGAGTTAAATAAAGTTCTATTTCTTCAGATTATTATTTAAATAATCCAATAACTGCCTTTGATTCAATGATCTCTAATGTTTTATATAATTTTTCTGAAGTTCCAATTTATAAGCCTATTCAATAATAACTTAATTCTACTTAAATCTATTTCTTGAAGTAATTCTACAATATCATTTAATTTATCTTGTAATTTACTATGATCTTTGATTGTTTTTTTAACTTTTTCTAATTCTTTATTATCTTAATCTATCATTTTTTCTTTATCCTTAATCATAATTTTGAAATAATTGGAGTTATGTTTGAGTTCATCTGTAATGAATTTTTCTATATCTTCTTTCCTTTCATATTCAAACTTCTATTTTTATTTACAATATTTCAAAATCTTAATAATGTTACTCTTACAGAATACCTATTATTAAAATGCTTTAATAAACTCTGAGTTTTCATTATTTAAAAGTAGTTCTTCATCTGTTTATTAAATTATTTCTGTTAAAACACTAAAAGCTAATGTTTAATCTACTTTCTAATCTTATTTTTTAAGCCATTCCATCATTTATGGGAAGAACTATTCTAACTAATACTAGTTATCATTACCTGAAGCTTTTTTTCCTACTATTGAGTTTACAATAGTCAAATAAGAAAACCAAATAATGAAAAAATATTTCATATTTATTATTCTTTGCTAAAATAACGTATATATAATTTATAAAGTATAATTTTCTATTGGAAAAATATATTATCTATAATTTAATTACTCATTTTTTTGTTAATAAATTTTGTTTATACTTTAAACTAGTTGTCCAATCAATTTAAGTGTTTTCCTTTCCTTTTTTCATTTTTTGTTAATTGTTATTAATTTTTAAAACTTAATTATAAACAGATTCTGTAGAATGTCCACTTAATTCTTTAAAAATTCTGTCTTTTAATGTGTCATCTTATTATTATAATTAAGATTTCTATTGATTCTAATTTAATATATAAAATCGTTTCTATTCTATTTAATCAACAGAAGGCTATTTTTTTCTTTATTTAGAATCTTAAGATTTATTAATCGTATTAGAATCATTTTAATCTAAAAAATAAATAATTTATACTTCTATAACTATTATAAATCTTAATCGATTATGGTAATATTGATTAACTCTTTTAATGAATTAAAGGTGTTATTTCTAAGTTTTTATTTTTGTCAATATTTTAAGTATTTTCATTACCTAATTTGATTAATTCTTATACACTGAACTTTTCAGTTAGCTATTATTATTATTATAATGGTTATTCGTTCAAACTAACATTATGACTATTTGCTTATTAGGGAATGAATAATTATTAATCACAATTTTATATATTTGTATGATTCCAACTTTCTGGAGTATTAGAATTACTTTCTCTTCTTGAATTCTTAATTGTTGAAATTGGATTAGATCCATTACTTTTATAGATAGGTAATTTAGTTATAGGAGATGGAGGATTTTAACTATTACTATCTTTAATTGTGTTCGAGAATGTACTTTAATAGATATCATCATTTTCTAAAATATCTAATACTTTCATATCTATTGAAGGATTATTAAAATTAATGGAATTACTTCTAGATTTTATTGATTATGTTGTATCATTCAATAAAATATTGTAACACATTTTATTCATAAATGTTAATATTTAAGATTGTTCAAATTAATTTATTTTTACACATTATTCTAATTTCATTTCTGATAATAATTGTTAAATATTTCTTACTCTTTTTTCATATCTAAGCATTATATCTTCAAATGGTTTCATTTCCATCTTTTTTACTATATTTATATGATTTTTTTCAATATCAATTTGAAATTATTATAATTATTTTTCATAATTTGTCACTGCTTATTACCAATCTAAAATATTCTATTCTAAACTTTTATGATCATGTTAAAATTTTTGTATATATGTTTATTTTAATTATTAAGCTGTTTCAATCACTTATTCAAAAAATCTTATACAATTTGTTTTTTGATCTTCAAGTAATTATTTTTAACTTAATTACAAACCGTTTAAATCTATTATTTTTACATTGCATGCTTATAATGTTTATTTCATCAATTCTTAAAATTAATTTATTCTCATTTGTCTTTACAATTCTAATTCTGCTCCTGCACTTTCTTCTATTTTATGACCTTTCAATGCTAAATTTAAAGCACATTTAGAACAAAATAATGTACGCTTATCATTTTAAGAATAATATTTTGCCTATATAATAACTATAACTAATTACTTTTTTATTTGGATGTTTTAAACAATTTAAATGTGAACTGGCTTTCTATTTAAAAATATTTGAATTCTTTAATATTCTATCTTATTCTTTAGCATTATAAGATGATTCTTCTTCTGAACTTGATGAAATTGCTAAAATCATTAATTCTGTTAAAAAAATATTAAATATAATTGTTTAAAAAACTTAATTTATCAATATTATTGTTTATAGGATGATTAAGCAACATAGAATTCTTTATATATATTTATATAATGATTGTATTATTTTGATATATAATCAATTTTAATTATATGAGATATATAATTAGAATAGCAACCTAATAAAACAAAAAAATACAATAAATATATTATTTAATATTAACATCTAATTTTGGATAAAAAAATCTTTTGTTATTATAATAATCTAAAATATTATAGAATGGGTATTTGTTAGAGTAGAAGAATACCTATTATAGGTAATATTGAAATTCGTAATTCTTCTGAAATAAATGATTTGTAGAGAAATAATATAGGTTAAGAAAATTAAGATAAAAATGTATAGTCTGGAACAATTGCTTAATCAAAAAGCTCTTCTCAAAATTCAATGGAAAAATAAGATGCAAATATTGAATAAAATAATAAATCAGTAAAGGAATAGGAATAAGAGTATACTAATTAAGAGTTTCAACGAGTGTCAGATATAAGTTATAACTTAAATCATATATACTCGTCTGAACCTTTAAGAAATGAATTAAATAATAGGAAAGATTTACCTAATCTACCTTTGGAAAGTAATTAAAATTCAAAAAATAAACCTGAATCTGTAACAGATACAAAAAAAATATTTTTGCAAAGCAATGTCCGAGTTCTTACCTAAGAAGAAAAAAATAAATAACATTGATAAACATAAATATTCCAAAATAATTATTATAAACTTCTAAAATTTATATTCTATCTGGTATTTTGTCTTTAGAATGGATTCATAATTATTTATTTTGTTTAAATGCAATTTAATGAAATTAATTAATTATATATCATGTTTGATCTTATTCTGGTTAAGGTAAAAGAGATTCATAATTATCATAAATTTATTGTGCTTTTTACAAATGTTTTTATTTTTCTTCCTCCTTAGTATAAAAAGCCACTTCAATGAACTTAAGTTTGTTTTCAAATCTGATTCTTCTATTTTATTTTTTTCTTATAAGGTAATTTTAATGAACTAATTTATAATTATTTTCAGCCCATTATTTTATAACATTTTATTAATCTTTACAAAATTGTTTATCATCTTCTATTATAGCCTTTAAATCGTCTTTATTTGCTAGACCCATAATTAAAGGTTCTTCTAATTATCTAATTTATCTCACTTCTGCAACATCATCAGGTAATTAATAATTATCAGATAATAATGGACCTAATGGTCTTGGAAATATTTTATATTTTGATTGTAAATGAGCTTAATTACCAAGTTGTTTTAACCAATTCTATTTTACATAATCCATTATTATTTCATACATTAAACTACCTACTATATGACAATTTAATTCAAATAATTCTTTTTTTTTAACTCTATCTGGAAATTCTACCCAAGGTCTTAAAATAATTCTTAAAATAAACACTCTTATTAATATTAATGTGATTAATAAACATTATGCTTTTATATCAGTCATCAATTTTAATTGACCTATAAGATTAAATTCAAGTCTATTCACTTCAAAAAGAAACAAAAAATTTTAAATAGGAAATTCAAAATCGTGTAATATTGATCCTAAAAATTCTATAGTCTCTTATTTTATATCTTTTGCATTAAAATTAGAAATCAAAGTTTGAAATAACTTTTTTGTTTGATTTTTTAAATTTTATCTTCTTTATATCATTTCTGCTTCCAATATTTTTCTTTTATCAGTAATATTCAAATTTTCCTTATTACTTGAAAATTAAACAATAACTTTTGCTGAATTTTTCTAAAACATTTCTAAAAAATTTTATAGACATTTAATAGCTTATTCACCTTTTTAATTTAAAGCAAGTTATTTTCTATTAGAAAAATTTGTTCTTACTTCCCATAAATAAAATGCAAAAAAAGAGAATTAATCTTTAAATAGTCTAAAATTGACCTTTGCCCATTATCTAAAATAAAAATAAATAAAAATATTACTCTTTTGTCATTCCAGGTGGTTTAAAACGTTTTCTTTAATATTATTTTTCTGTTTTTTATACTTCTTTCTATTTTTATTCTTATTCATTTTTCAAATTAATTTCAAAATTTCCCTAATATTTTTTATCCTTTTATTCTTATTATTAATCCTATTCTTCTTTTTTTGGTCCCCAATAATCATCAATTTATTTATTTATAGTATTTGCTAACCCCATTCTTTAAAATTTATCATATTCAGTTATTTTATCATCTGTCTATACTTCTATAGTTTTTTTTGAAACTTCATTTTTAAAACCATAAATTCTTTCATTATCCTATTGTGGTATCTAAACAACTTATCTTTATGGATATGGTTGAGCATAAGGTGGATAATGAATACTACTCATTTATTATGAATAATATTCTAATGGTTTTAATGTTATTGATTTTAATTAAATATTTATTGGTTTCTAATTAGGCTTTTGATAACTTTATTAATATTATTAGTATTATTGATATTATTGCATTTGTTATTGATATTATTATTAATACATCAATTAATTAATCATCATGTTCTAATCATATATTAACTATTACATTGATAAATATTATTGTCTCTATTGTAATCGTCTATTTATATTTCAAATATATTTTACTTTTTATAATCTTCTTCTAGTGCCTATTGTTAGTTGAAATTAGGAATTTAATTGTATGTGTTCATTGATTAATATCCTACATTTTAAAATGTTTGCCGATTATTATTATTATTATTATTATTATTATACATTTTTAATAATGAATTTTTTTAGTTGCAATTGCACAAATATTGAACAAGAATTAGATATTAACAATAGTAATCTATACATAAAAAAAATCATTTTACATTCTATGGACTAAGACAAGGTTATTTCCTTATCTATTGAATTAAATGTTATTTTATAAGGATTCAAGTTGAATAGATAAAAGGATTGTCTTTATTTATTAAACCTTAAGAAATTCAAAGAAGATATACATTACACATTAACTAAATTAAATCCATAGTTCTAGTAATATCTAACAATAAATTATTCTAGAATACCCCTAAACAATCAAGATGATAGTATTTAAGAATTTAATTTAAATTTAAACTTAAATATTTATGAAGGATGTTATAAATTATTATATTTGCAATAAAGAGACTCATATTTTTAAAAGCATGATTATATCTATGGAGAATGGGAAATCATGGGTTCTACTGAAGAAATTAAAATAGAATTAATATGTAATATTATCATCTATTATTTATTCTTAGAAAATAAAAATAATAAACATAATCATTAAATTAGAATTCTTATGTACTCAATAAGTAAAACACCTAAACTTTAGAGAAAACGTTGAATTACTAAAATTATCATAATTTTGATATAAAATCAAATATACTTTATTTCGGCTCTACTTGTAACCAAACTTTATGTAGGCTTTTATGAGAATTTTCTATCTGTTTTGGAAATGAAATCACAA